AGAGAGCGCGCGCGCGCGCGCTCGCGCGCCGCCGCGGCGCGCTCGACGCGCCCGGGCGCCGCGCGCTCGCCCCGCGCCCGCTCCCGCGCCCGCGCCCCGCGCCCGCGCCCGCGTGCGCGCCCGCGTCGCTCTATACCCGATAGAAACATATAGAGAGACATGAGAAAGATAGAGACATATAAAGGAAAGAGAGAGAGGAGAATCTGATATAGTATAATATATAGAGATTAGTAGCGAGAGCTTCTTCTCTCTCTCTCTCTCTTCGCTCTCTCTCTCTCTCTTCTCTCTCTCTCTTTTTCATTCCTCCTTTTCGTTCTACTTCCTGGGTAGTTATTACTCCTGGTAGTTATTACCTCATGTAGATAGTTCTCCCTGGTAGTTATTACCTCCTGGTAGTTATTACTCCTGGTAGTTATTACTCCTGGTAGATTATTACTCCTGGTAGATATTACTCCTGGTAGTTATTACTCCTTGTAATATACTCCTGTAGTTATTTACTCTCCCTGGTAGATATTACTCCTGGTAATATTACTATTACTCCTGGTGTTATTACTGGACTGGGAGTTTTACTGCTGGTAGTTCAACACCTAAGTGCTTCTCTTTCCTCTCTAATCGTCCTGTTGCCCCTATCAACCCCCCCACCCCCTCCCCAACACACACAAGCTCTGTGTCACGTCCTGTAACTAACACTGTCCGTACTCTCCCTGCTCCGTCCAAAATGTCATTCTATTACCTATGTAGTGCACTACTTTTGACCAGGGCACTATGTTGGGAATAGGGTGCCATTTGGAATGAAACCTCTGACGATCTGTATTATCATAACCTTAATGCGTCTCAGCATTATGACTCCTGGATGGAATACTTTAAAATATATTTATTTTGGACCTACTGTAAGAGCCAACAAGATTGGTCATGTTTCAGGGTTTTTCTATTTTTTTCTTTCACTTTTCAGGTCTCCTCCTTTCTGTATCTCATCTTCTCCCCCACCCGCTTCCCCCCCCTCCCCCCCCCCCCCCCCCCCCCCCTTTTCTTCTCTCTCCGTCTTCTCTCTCTTCTCTCTTCCTCTCTCCTCTCTCTCCTCTCTCTCTCTCTCCCTCTCTCTCTCTCTCTCTCTCCTCACACTCTCCACGCTGTTCTGTCTGTCTGTCTCTCTTTCTGTATCTTCCCACCACCCCCCTCCTCTGTGTTTAAGCATATCCCAGTTTTATGGGTCCACCAAGCAGTAACGAACTCTGAATAGATGGTGGACAAGCATTCACATATGGTATCCAGCACAGCTGGGGCTGAGGGGGGTCTGTAGCAAGCGGCAACAGGGGAAGATTTTTTCTAAAAGGTGGGCTCAAACTGTTTGGGCAAAACCCTGGATATATGATAAGTCTCAGGTATCTCTACAGTAGATTGCAACTCCCCGCCCCTTTTTGGCATTCATCTAACGGAAATGCTTTCGGGAGGACATTTCTCTTTTTTTGGGGCCCTTTCCAAACCCCAGGTTCAGACCTCTAAACATCGGGTTGGGGTGTGCAAACGCAGTGAATAATAAATTTTTGGGGGAGGAGGCTTCTGATTTTAACATGCAAAAACCAAATGCTTTTACGGTTAAGAAGTCAACAAATTTTTAGCCCCCGGGGGAGTAGGATGATACTGGGGGCTACAGGGCCTGGGTTAACCTCTACTCACCAGAGGAACAAAAGGGGGAATAGAAAAGTATAGGAAAAAAGGCTTTTAAAACTGGCTTCTAGTGCGTTGAGTAAAGAAAATAAAGGGGCAGATTTCCGGGCGTTGTAGAAAGTTCCCCGGGCATTATGTACATAAAAGGATATGGAAGGAAGAGTACAGTGGGGGACACCAAGTTTTGGGTAACATAAAAGAATAGATCACGGGGTACGATTGAGCCGTTCTCCGCGTTTTAGGGGGTTTTTGGACAAAAAACTTTTTATTGAGGGGAGGGGTTTGGGCCCCCCCGGGGGGAAACTGGGGGGGCTTACGGGGGAAAAGTAAAAAATTTTAAAACAAAAAATTTCCCTTTAAACCCAAAAACCCAGGCAAAATAAAAGCTTAGGGGGCTTTTATTGCCCCAAAAATTTTGTTTTTTTTGGGGGGAGAAAAAGGCTTTAACAAAAAAAACCCAAAAAACCCCCAAAAGGGGGGGTTTTTAAAATTTTCGAGAGGGGGCTAAGGGGGCCCCAAACAACTGGCATTTGGCGGGGGGAAACCCCCCCGGGGAAAGTTTGGGCCTGGGCCAACCCCAAAAAAACCAAATGGGGGTACAGTTTTTTAAAAAGCCCCAGCGGGCTGGTGGGGGGAGGGAGGAAGGGGGGCCCGTAAAGAAAAAGAATTTTGGGAGGGCATTCCCGGTGGTATAAGAAGAAAAAAAGGGGGGCCGGGTTTTAAGGGTTTTTGAGGGGCGGGTTTTGTGAGGGTTTATGGTTTCCCCAAAAAGCCTTAAACCCCAAATTGGGCCCCGACCAGGTCCAGGAAATGAGGGGTTCCTTCGGGACCTAAACCCTTTTTAAAATTCCTTTTAAATTCCCCCACCAAAACCTTTCTTAAAATTTTTTTTTCCACCCAAAACCCATTTCCCCCAAAAAAATTTAATTTTAAAAAAAGAAAAAATTATTCCTTTTAAAAATCTTTACCTTTCTTTTTTCTTTCCTTTTGGTCCCTTCTTTTTTAACAAAGGGGGGACCCTTTTTTTGTTTAAAAACCTTTTCCCTTTTCCTTTAAAAAAAAACCCCTTTTTTTCCCCCCTTCCCTTCCCCTTTTTTTTAAAAACTTTTAATTTGTTTTTCTAAAAATTTTCCTTTTTTTTCACCCCCATTTTTTTCTACCCCCCCCCCCCTTTTTTTTCCCCATTTTTTCCCTTTTTTCCCCCCTTTTCCCCCCCCCCTTTTTCTTCCGTGGGGGTCCCCTTGGGGGGTTGGGGCTTTTTTTTTTTGTTTTTTTTCCTTTCTTGCTCCCTGCGCGTAGTTTAGCTACTAAAACCCCCCTCCAAAAGGGGGACTATTTTACTATCGGCTATGATTTTCCAACACAACACGGGAACCTTTTTTGGTTTCACTAATGTATTCCCACAGGGATCCACCGGTGTAACTTTTCCTGATTGTACCTTAAAATTCCCGCATGTTGTACAGGTTTTACTCCCCTTTAGTTATATTGCTAGCTGACTATATTTACTTTTACTAATATGGGACAACGATGTGGGCTTTTTTTTTGGTTTTTGGGGGAAAAGGTTTTTTTTTTTTTTTCGCCTGGTCCAAACCTGTGTGTTGTGCTTTGAAGTCCCCAAGCGGGGGAAAAGGTGAAGGGGGAACGAAGATGCAGAAGAAAAACAAGGGCTGCTATAAAGTGAACTGTGTTTACGCGTGATCAGGGGTGTATTCATTCTGCCGATTCTGTTGAAAAACTTTTCTTAAAACGGAAGCAAACGGAACAAAACGGGGATAAACATACCTGAATTTGTCCAATAGAAACTCTCGTTTGCAAATGTTGGACTAATGATAGGGAAACTGTGAGTATCATGTAGTAGCCTAAACCTATCGCTGTTACATTGAACTGGGTGAGTGAAATATGGATGACAGTCTAATATGCTGTAATAGAAAGAAGGCCATGCTCATGAAAAAAAATTAAAAATCATCCCTCATCTTAAACGGTGCTGACTGCCACTGTGTATGCATGTGTAGGCCCTTACAAGCACAAGCGTGGCATCAGCCTCAGGCAAACAGGCATTGGATGTAACAGTGTTCCTTTTTTTAGTGTAATTTAAACATGCTTTTTTGCGTGTTTATTTTGACTTTATTTTGGACATTTATCTTATACTATCCCCTGCCCAGCAACTCCACTCCCACTTCCACTTCCCAACCCTCAGTTTCCCTCAGCCCATCCCACCCATCTCCCTCGTCGGATTTCTACGTACCATATATCTTTCAACTATGCTGTGATGTTTAACATACAATTTGAATCTATCTAATCGAATAGTATCCACAGATTGTGAGTTGAAGATAACTAATTTTACTAAGAGTATTAGTATATTAGTAATTGACTGACCAGGTCTCTCTATATCTCCCAACAATGCTATTTCTAGGGTCAATTTTAGATTGTTATGCTTTTTCAGCCATTCCTGAACCTGAGACCAGAAACATGCTACCTGAGGGCAATACCAGAACAAATGGTCTATTGATTCTGTATCCTCACAACAAAATGCGACGATTGTATGCTGTAAATATTCAACATTTTGTTGGTGTCAAGAATTCTGTACATTAATTTTAGCTGAAAAGCATGAAGTCTTGAATCTTTTTATATATCAACTCATAAACCCTGTCCCATGGAATCCGTACATAACACATCTCTTCCCAGCTATGTTGCAATCTGTATGGCACAGCTGCCAACATCCTGGTCCTCAAATGAAACTGGTATACTTTCCTATTTATGCTATTTTTGTTCCTCCACCAGTTTTGATCCTTTATATTGGGCAGAAAGACCAGTTTTCCTCCCGCTGCCACCTGCCTCCTGCCTCCTCCATTTTTGGGGTAATGCTGTAATCAGTTGGTTGTAATCTTGGATTGAGCAGACCTTCCCATACAATTCCGATAGCTCCATGAAAGACATAACTCCACCATTTCAATTTACAATATCATTTAAAAACAAAATAACCTTTTCAAACGTATTTTCCATAAATACACATCTTTTATCAACCAGCACATTTGAGTTCAACCATAATATTTGTTGTAAAATTTGTTCTAAATTCTCTGGGGGATATATTTCTTAATTCCATTATTTTACTTTTAGATTTGTGTGTATTGTTAGATATTACTGCGCTGTTGGAGCTAGGAACACAAGCATTTCACTACACCCATAATAACATCTACTAAACATGTGTGTGCGACCAATAACATTGTATTTTATTTGAGAGTGTTGCAAAAGTCCAAACAGGAAGTGACATGGATGAAGGTTTGGGTGCTGGAGTGTGACAGTGAGGTCGGAGCCTGGAGATATTGCGGAGTTTAAAGAATGCTGTCCTGGTGATGTTTTGTATGTGGAGTTCGAATGAGAGGGAACTGTCCAGGGTGACACCGAGGCTTTTGAGGGACCAGGAAACCATCTATGGTGATGCTGAGGTTGTGCTGTTTGGAGAGAGTGGATTCGGAGCCGATGAGCAGGACTTCCGTCTGGTTGCTGTTGAGTGTGAGGAGGTTCATGCTCATCCAGCTCTGGATGTCTTGGAGGCAGCTGATGAGGGAGGTGGGAGGGAGGGGAGTGGTGAGTTTGGTGGAGAGGTAGGAGGTACATGATGAAGAGGAGTGGACCCAACACTGACCCCTGGGGGACACCCTGTGAGACAGCCACACACATGATCTGTGATTTTTCAGTTGAGCAAACTGTTGGGCGGTCAGTGAGGTAGGACGAAAACCAGGAGAGTGCAACACCCGTGACACCAGCCAGACGTTTATGAGGAGTGGATGAGGAGATGGTATGGAAGGCTGCACTGAGGTGGAGGAGATGAGGAGATGGTATGGAAGGCTGCACTGAGGTGGAGGAGGATGAGGAGATGGTATGGAAGGATGCACTGAGGTGGAGGAGGATGAGGAGATGGTATGGAAGGCTGCACTGAGGTGGAGGAGAATGAGGAGATGGTATGGAAGGCTGCACTGAGGTGGAGGAGGATGAGGAGATGGTATGGAAGGCTGCACTGAGGTGGAGGAGGCTGAGGAGATGGTATGGAAGGCTGCACTGAGGTGGAGGAGGATGAGGATGCATATATCTTGAGATTGCAGTGACAGGTCATGAATAAAGTGAATATATAATGGTATATTGGGTTTTGTCTAACTCATCCACAACTGAATGAGTGAATGCTGAGCACTTGTTGGCTGCTTTTCCTTCAATCTGCCTTCCAACTCATCCCAAACCATCTCAATTGGGTGGAGGTCGAGGGATTGTGGAGGCCAGGTCATCTGATGCAGCAATCCATCACTCTCCTTCTTGGTAAAATAGCCCTTACACAGCCTGGAGGTGTGTTGGGTCATTGTCCTGTTAGAAAAACAAATGATAGTCCCACTAAGCCCAAACCAGATGGGATGGCGTATCACTGCAGAATGCTGTGGTAGCCATGCTGGTTAAGTGTGCCTTGAATTCTAAATAAATCACAGACAGTGTCACCAGCAAAGCACCCCCACACCATAACAACTCCTCCTCCATGCTTTACAGTGGGAACTACACATGCAGAGATCATCCGTTCACCCACACTGTGTCTCACAAAGACACGGCGGTTGGAACCAAAAATCTCCAATTTGGACTCCAGACCAAAGGACACATTTTCACCGGTCTAATATCCATTGCTAGTGTTTCTTGGCCCAAGCAGGTGTCTTCTTCTTATTGGTGTCCTTTAGTAGTGGTTTCTTTTGCCAGCAATTCGACCATGAATGATTCACACAGTCTCCTCTGAATATTGATGTTGAGATGTGTCTGTTACTTGACCTCTGTGAAGCATTTATTTGGGCTGCAATTTCTGAGGCTGGTAACTCTAATGAACTTATCCTCTGCAGCAGAGGTAACTCTGGGTCTTCCTTTCATGTGACGGTCCTCATGAGAGCCAGTTTCATCATAGCGCTTGATGGTTTTTGCAACTGCACTTGAAGAAACTTTCAAAGTTCTTGACATTTTCCGTATTGACTGACCTTCATGTCTTAAAGTAATGATGGACTGTCATTTCTCTTTGCTTATTTGAGCTGTTCTTGCCATAATATGGACTTTTCTTGCCATAATATGGACTTGGTATTTTACCAAATAGGGCTATCTTCTGTATACCCCCCCCCCACCTTGTCACAACACAACTGATTGGCTCAAATGCATTAAGAAGGAAAGAAATTCCACAAATTAACTTTTAACATGGCACACCTGTTAATTGAAATGCATTCCAGGTGACTGTCTCATGAAGCTGGTTGAGAGAATACCAAGAGCTTGCAAAGCTGTCATCAAGGCAAAGGGTGGCTATTTGAAGAATCTCAAATATAAAATAGATTTTGATTTGTTTGACACTTTTTTGGTTACTACATGATTCCATATGTGTTATATCATAGTTTTGATGTCTTCACTATTATTCTACAATGTAAAAAAATGTAAAGAATAACCCTTGAATGAGTAGGTGTGTCCAAACTTTTGACTGGTAGTGTAAATCCTTCCTCCCTTCTGCCTCTCTCCTCTCCTCTCCTCTCCTCTCCTCTCCTCTCCTCTCCTCTCCTCTCCTCTCCTCTCCTCTCCTCTCCTCTCCTCTCCTCTCCTCTCCTCTCCTCTCCTCTCCTCTCCTCTCCTCTCCTCTCCTCTCCTCTCCTCTCCTCCCTCCCAGTATAATTATTATACAGTATAATTATAGCCAAACACCTCACCTTTTCTTGATATGACATCCTGTCTTGTGTCCTACTGTGCCACCAAGAAATTACCTCATACTCCAGCCCTTCATTCACTTCAACATGGTGACGTTCTATCATGACTGGCATCTTTTTTCAAACAATAGCTTTTATATAGCACCAAGGGAAGGAATTACCTCATACTTAAGCTACATGACTGTACAATGACAGAAATTACTGTGTATCTGGATATGAATAGTGATTGTGTGGTATCAAGCCCCAGCCCCTCAACCCTTCTGGCTGTGTTGGTGATTCTGCTTTAATATACAGTATGTGAATAGTGATTGTGGTAGACAGCCCCAGTCCCAGTCACAGTCCCAGTCACAGTCCCAGTCACAGTCACAGTCACAGCCCCAGTCACAGCACCAGTCCCAGTCACAGTCACAGCCCCAGTCACAGCACCAGTCCCAGTCACAGTCACAGCCCCAGTCACAGCACCAGTCCCAGTCACAGCACCAGTCACAGTCACAGTCACAGCCCCAGTCACAGCACCAGTCACAGTCACAGCACCAGTCACAGTCACAGTCACAGCCCCAGTCACAGCACCAGTCACAGTCACAGCCCCAGTCCCAGACCCAGTCCCAGTCACAGCCCCAGTCCCAGTCACAGCCCCAGTCCCAGACCCAGTCACAGCCCCAGTCCCAGTCACAGCACCAGTCACAGTCACAGCACCAGTCACAGTCACAGTCACAGCCCCAGTCACAGCACCAGTCCCAGTCACAGCACCAGTCACAGTCACAGTCACAGCCCCAGTCACAGCACCAGTCACAGTCACAGCACCAGTCACCAGTCACAGTCACAGCCCCAGTCACAGCACCAGTCACAGTCACAGCCCCAGTCCCAGACCCAGTCCCAGTCACAGCCCCAGTCCCAGACCCATTCACAGCCCCAGTCCCAGACCCAGTCACAGCCCCAGTCCCAGTCACAGCACCAGTCACAGTCACAGTCACAGCACCAGTCACAGTCACAGTCACAGCCCCAGTCACAGCACCAGTCACTGTCACAGCCCCAGTCACAGCCCCAGTCCCAGTCCCAGTCACAGCCCCAGTCACAGTCACAGTCCCAGTCACAGCCCCAGCCCCAGTCTCAGTCACAGCCCCAGTCACAGTCACAGTCTCAGTCACAGCCCCAGCCCCAGTCTCAGTCACAGCCCCAGTCACAGTCTCAGTACACAGCCCCAGTCCCAGACCCAGTCACAGCCCCAGTCCCAGTCCCAGTCCCCAGTCACAGCCCCAGTCTCAGTCCCAGTCACAGCCCCAGTCACAGTCACAGTCCCAGTCACAGCCCCAGCCCCAGTCTCAGTCACAGCCCCAGTCACAGTCACAGTCTCAGTCACAGCCCCAGCCCCAGTCTCATTCACAGCCCCAGTCCACAGTCTCAGTCACAGCCCCAGTCCCAGACCCAGTCACAGCCCCAGTCCCAGTCCCAGTCCCAGTCACAGCCCCAGTCTCAGTCACAGCCCCAGTCACAATCTCAGTCACAGCCCCAGCCCCAGTCTCAGTCACAGTCACAGCCCCAGTCTCAGTCACAGCCCCAGTCCCAGTCACAGTCACAGCCCCAGTCCCAGCCCCAGTCCCAGTCACAGCCCCAGTCCCAGTCACAGCACCAGTCAATGTCCCAGTCACAGCCCCAACCCCAGCCCCAGCCCCAGCCCCAGCCCCTCACCCATCCTGGCTGTGGTGATTCAGTTTTACTTTCTATGAGTACTTATTATGTGGTGTCCAGCCCCTCAACACATCACCCTGTGGTCCTGGTCCATTCAGTGGTTCATGTTTAGTAGAGTAGTGTGAGAGGGGAAGTGGATCGGACGGACAGGAAGTGAACAGGAAGCAGAGAGGCCTGATAGTGGAGTAACACAGGGAACGGCTGAGGAGGATTTTCCACCAGGTCACACGCACACGCACGCACAAACGTACGTAGCAGGAACCCTAGTCACTGTCTCCCACACATGTGTAGGTACATTCACACCCACCTACCAAGAAACAAACACACGTACTCATGAATTACAAATACACCCACACACACATCATCTACACACACACACACACACACACACACACACACACACACAGGGCCAAAATGCCACCAAATCTATCACACAGTAGTAGTGATCATCAATAGAGCTCCACAGTCAGCCACAGCAGCCTTGTATCAACCATATGGATCTCTACAGATCTGCTGTTGATGTGCTGTTGATGTGCTGTTGATGTGCTGTTGATCTGCTGTTGATGTGCTCATCTTCTGATTTAGACCCTGGCTCCTTTGTTCATGCACCTTGGAGGAAGGAAAGCTTTCTCCTTTGTTCATGCACCTTGGAGGAAGGCGAAGTAGTGACAGCGTTCTTTTCCCCAAAACAACATGGAAGGGCAAAAGGAGGGCAGAGGTCACCAGAAATGCTACTGTGTAGAAGTCAGAGGTCACCAGAGATGCTACTGTGTAGAATTCAGAGGTCACCAGACATGCTACTGTGTAGAAGTCAGAGGTCACCAGATATGCTACTGTGTAGAATTCAGAGGTCACCAGACATGCTACTGTGTAGAATTCAGAGGTCACCAGACATGCTACTGTGTAGAAGTCAGAGGTCACCAGAGATGCTACTGTGTAGAATTCAGAGGTCACCAGACATGCTACTGTGTAGAAGTCAGAGGTCACCAGAGATGCTACTGTGTAGAATTCAGAGGTCACCAGACATGCTATTGTGTAGAAGTCAGAGGTCACCAGACATGCTACTGTGTAGAAGTCAGAGGTCACCAGAGATGCTACTGTGTAGAATTCAGAGGTCACCAGACATGCTACTGTGTAGAATTCAGAGGTCACAAGACATGCTACTGTGTAGAATTCAGAGGTCACCAGACATGCTACTGTGTAGAAGTCAGAGGTCACCAGAGATGCTACTGTGTAAATTCAGAGGTCACCAGACATGCTACTGTGTAGAAGTCAGAGGTCACCAGAGATGCTACTGTGTAGAATTCAGAGGTCACCAGACATGCTACTGTGTAGAATTCAGAGGTCACCAGACATGCTACTGTGTAGAAGTCAGAGGTCACCAGACATGCTACTGTGTAGAAGTCAGAGGGTCACCAGAGATGCTACTGTGTAGAATTCAGAGGTCACCAGACATGCTACTGTGTAGAAGTCAGAGGTCACCAGAGATGCTACTGTGTAGAATTCAGAGGTCACCAGACATGCTACTGTGTAGAATTCAGAGGTCACCAGACATGCTACTGTGTAGAAGTCAGAGGTCACCAGAGATGCTACTGTGTAGAATTCAGAGGTCACCAGACATGCTACTGTGTAGAAGTCAGAGGTCACCAGAGATGCTACTGTGTAGAATTCAGAGGTCACCAGACATGCTACTGTGTAGAATTCAGAGGTCACCAGACATGCTACTGTGTAGAAGTCAGAGGTCACCAGACATGCTACTGTGTAGAAGTCAGAGGTCACCAGAGATGCTACTGTGTAGAATTCAGAGGTCACCAGACATGCTACTGTGTAGAAGTCAGAGGTCACCAGAGATGCTACTGTGTAGAATTCAGAGGTCACCAGACATGCTACTGTGTAGAATTCAGAGGTCACCAGACATGCTACTGTGTAGAAGTCAGAGGTCACCAGAGATGCTACTGTGTAGAATTCAGAGGTCACCAGACATGCTACTGTGTAGAAGTCAGAGGTCACCAGAGATTCTACTGTGTAGAATTCAGAGGTCACCAGACATGCTATTGTGTAGAAGTCAGAGGTCACCAGACATGCTACTGTGTAGAAGTCAGAGGTCACCAGAGATGCTACTGTGTAGAATTCAGAGGTCACCAGACATGCTACTGTGTAGAAGTCAGAGGTCACCAGACATGCTACTGTGTAGAAGTCAGAGGTCACCAAGAGATGCTACTGTGTAGAATTCAGAGGTCACCAGACATGCTACTGTGTAGAAGTCAGAGGTCACCAGAGATGCTACTGTGTAGAATTCAGAGGTCACCAGACATGCTACTGTGTATAATTCAGAGGTCACCAGACATGCTACTGTGTAGAAGTCAGAGGTCACCAGACATGCTACTGTGTAGAAGTCAGAGGTCACCAGAGATGCTACTGTGTAGAATTCAGAGGTCACCAGACATGCTACTGTGTAGAATTCAGAGGTCACCAGACATGCTACTGTGTAGAAGTCAGAGGTCACCAGACATGCTACTGTGTAGAAGTCAGAGGTCACCAGAGATGCTACTGTGTAGAATTCAGAGGTCACCAGACATGCTATTGTGTAGAAGTCAGAGGTCACCAGACATGCTACTGTGTAGAATTCAGAGGTCACCAGACATGCTACTGTGTAGAATTCAGAGGTCACCAGACATGCTACTGTGTAGAATTCAGAGGTCACCAGACATGCTACTGTGTAGAATTCAGAGGTCACCAGACATGCTACTGTGTAGAAGTCAGAGGTCACCAGACATGCTACTGTGTAGAAGTCAGAGGTCACCAGAGATGCTACTGTGTAGAATTCAGAGGTCACCAGACATGCTATTGTGTAGAAGTCAGAGGTCACCAGACATGCTACTGTGTAGAAGTCATAGGTCACCAGACATGCTACTCTGTAGAAGTCAGAGGTCACCAGAGATGCTACTGTGTAGAAGTCAGAGGTCACCAGAGATGCTACTGTGTAGAAGTCAGAGGTCACCAGAGATGCTACTGTGTAGAAGTCAGAGGTCACCAGAGATGCTACTGTGTAGAAGTCAGAGGTCACCAGAGATGCTACTGTGTAGAAGTTAGAGGTCACCAGAGATGCTACTGTATAGAAGTCAGAGGTCACCAGACATGCTACTGTGTAGAAGTCAGAGGTCACCAGACATGCTACTGTGTAGAAGTCAGAGGTCACCAGACATGCTACTGTGTAGAAGTCAGAGGTCACCAGAGATGCTACTGTGTAGAAGTCAGAGGTCACCAGAGATGCTACTGTGTAGAAGTCAGAGGTCACCAGAGATGCTACTGTGTAGAAGTCAGAGGTCACCAGACATGCTACTGTGTAGAAGTCAGAGGTCACCAGACATGCTACTGTGTAGAAGTCAGAGGTCACCAGAGATGCTACTGTGTAGAAGTCAGAG